GGAATCCTCGATCCAGAAAGCTAAAGAGTGTTTTATTTTACGATGTGTCTATCATCTTTTCTCATCTAATAATTTGATCTCATGGATTAAGATTATGAATGGGATAGTGAGATATTTATAATTAGGTCAAACCTAATCATATGGGCCTTAGGAAACCCTATAGCCCAATAGGTAATTGGACATAATCCAATTAATAATTTAATTAAGTATAAATCTAATTTAACTTAATTAAATATTTTTTAATTAATAATTTAATTAAGTATAAATCCAATTTAACTTAATTAAATATTTTTCATCAAATAGAAAATAATCTCATTACTCAAAAATAAATATTTCAATCCAATTGAATATTTAACACTCTCGATTCATTCTTAGCCGGAAAACTGATTGCATATTGTGTGACCCTATAGGCCTTCATATATTGACATAAATCTAATTTATGATTCTTACGAAACTCCTAGACTGCGTCGAAGGACGAACTCAAAATATGAAGTACGTTTACATGGACAAGCAAACAAACCTTTCGTGTAGAAGTCAATAGTGATACTGTCCCTTCATTCACGAACCACTCGATTAAGCTTAGGATTTGAGCGTGTGTCTATCCAAACAGCTTAATCATTTTATCTCATCTTACTGGTTGATTTTATCAATTATATTTGAACACTATTTCAAGTATAATCACGTGCATTGGCCAATGACTTTATCAACCCAGTATAGAGAAAACGAGTGTTCTCTCGAAAGTATATTCGAGGAATGAATCCTATCTTAGCTCAACTACTAATTTCATGTATATCGTGATCTACCCAACACAAGCCCGTATCTACCCATAAGGGCGTAAGCGTTGGACTAGGTCTAAGTAAATCACTCTACACATGAATTGCGTATTGACCTCAAGTCAAAGGACTATTACACCATTCCACATACCAATACTCTCATAGACACATAAACAAATGGTTTATCAGTAGGGCATGCCAATACTCTCCAAAGTATTCATGTGTCCATCACGAATAACAATTATTCATAGCAGTGAGACATACTATATTCTCGAAGAATGTGATGCAGATCACATGTCAATCTATTGCGTATCATTAATATCTCTTTCTTAATGATCATCGATTCAAGCGATTTGAGAGTTATACTTTATCAATTAACATCTCAATCTGTTAATGACAGTATTAACTCAAGGGAGCAATTAATTAATAAATTGCAAACAATCAAACAATTATTTAATTAATTGCAATACCATAATTATAATCCAATATAATTACTAATGTGATCATATATATATGTCCTTAAAATGATGGTCTCTAGGACACATATACCAACACGTTGTACCAATTAAAGCAATGCTTAACTCTTTATAGTAATTGTAAGTGCAAGTTTTGGATCATGAAAGTATGATATTTCTAAGTTTGTTGAAGACCTTAGTTTATCCACCCAATACAATAATAATTAATACCTAGTTGTTTAGTTGCATTTTTATAAAATCAGTTGGTGTACCAAATTTATCAAGATTGCAACTTTATCACTCGTACCTCTTTCAATGGATATGTATAGTTTTAAACTAAAATACTTTAAACACAATATAGACAAAAAAATATGACATATAGCATAAATATGCTTTTTTATTTTTTTAAAAAAAAAGGAATATTACTGATCAACTTTCTAACAGGTTGTCTTACACAAGAATATGTGCAACTTTTATCTTGTGTTGCTTCTATTTATAATTCTAGACAATTATTTAACTAGAAAAACACAACACTCTTGGAAGAATGTAATAATTTGTAAAAAAAAAAACATATCTTCATGCTCCTTTTTCCCCAAGTAGAGATGGATATTTGATGGAATTGGTCCATAATGCCTAGTTAAGAGGTGTTTCATATTTGTCA